AGACATATTGAGAACACTGCAGTAACACGGAAAGTGATGGTGGTATTGTTGAGGTCCTCCTCTGGAGGACCTTTATGATCTTTTAAGGTCAAATCTGTTTTATTAGTTGATTTTTATTGAATGAAAATGAAAGAAGGATTAGACAGTGTTGTTCAATTGAATTAATTTCCCTTTCAGTTATTCCGCCACTTTCAGGAAAAGTAGGATTTTGATGTAGTACTGGGACAGGTCTGTATCGTAGGGCGAGAACGCACCCATGCCCAGGTAGCCGGCACACACCTGTGGACCAACGTCACCTTCCTGTTCAAATCTAGATCTTATGGCAGTAAATGTAACGGTTAACGGAGAAAAGAGGATAAATTGCTTACTTAAAATTGCTTAAATAATCAAAACTGTCATGCAAGCGATGAATACTGAACTCTTAAAGCAGTACTTTGCAAAAGGAGAAAAAGAGTTTGCAAGAATTGAGCTGATAGTTCTAATTATGTTCTTGCCCTCAAACCTACTAATTAGAATGGTCCTTCTCCAAAACACATTTCAGAAAATCAGAGTATGAAGCATGGTGTTATCTAGAATTGTCTCCAAATTATTTTGATTTTGCACTGCCATTAGTAAAAAATTTTAAAGCACACCCCAATATAGTTATTTATAAATTATGTACATTGATAACCACTACATGCACTTTATTTTATTTTTGAGATGGAGTCTTTCTCTGTTGCCAAGGCTGGAGTGCAGTGGCGTAATCCTGACTCATGGCAACCTCTGCCTCCAGGGTTCAAGTGATTCTCCTGCCTCAGCCTCCTGATAACTGGGACTACAGGTGTGCACCACCAGGCCCAGCTAATTTTTGTGTTTTTGGTAGAGATGGGATTTCACTATGTTGGCCGGGCTGGTCTCGAACTCCTGACCTTGTGATCTGCCCACCTCGGCCTCCCAAAGTGTTGAGATTACAGGCATGAGCCACTGCGCCTGGCTGCACTTTTATTTTTATAAATAACATTTAATATGTCAGAGATACTTTTATATGTGTCCAATTGTATCAACATATTTTTAAAAACATATGTAAAATTAAAATGTTAAAAGAATGGTGTCTTAGCTTGGGCTGCTATAGCAAATTATTCTGGACTGGGTGGTTTAAACAACAAACATTTATTTCTCACACTTCTAGGGGCTGAGAAGTCCCAAATCAGGCTGTTGGCAGATCCAGGGCCTGGCGAGGGCCTGTTACTAGTGTGTGGTGGCCTTCTCCTCATAAAGAGTGAGCAAACTTTCATGCTGGTTCTTATAAGGGCACTAATCCCATTCATGAGGACTCTCCAATCATGACCTAGTCACTTCAGAAGGCCCTACCTTTTAATAGCATCACCATGAGGGTTAGGATTTTAATATATGAATTTGTGTGTGTATATTGGGCGGGGGATACATTCAATCCATAAGAAATGGAATAAATTGAAATGAGTTCTAGCATGTCCTTGATACCCTCCAAAGGACTACTATGGACACTCCCTGGGTACGTATGCCCCACTTACGAGACCAGTCTAGGAAGCCAGACAGAGTGGAGAGAGCTGAGCTGTGTTTTGAATACTTGGGCAACTGGACCACATAGGCTTTCTTCCCTGTGTCATTCTACATCCATGGATAAATTATTATAAAAGGAATTGGTAAATAGTTCCAAAGGAATCCATATGCAAATACAGAAACATTTTTAAGTGAATTTGCATGAAAGAGGTCCTTAGGTTCATCCCAGCCATCGATGTGAATTCAGCAGAGGAACATAGTCACTGACATGGTTTTCATCCCATTAACTGGGGACGGTCAGGATTGGGTCAGAAACTTCATGCTTAAGAGCCCTGGTCCTGTGCTGTTTAATTGGTAGAAGACATACTTCATTTTTGTACAACAAATAAGATGTATCTACACACTTGAACTTTCTATTTTAGCAGCTTCTAGGCATAACTTAGAAATACAAAGTAAAAACGTTTCATATTTTTGGTTGCCGTCCTGGAAAGAACAGGAGAAATACAACTTCTGTTTGTTGGAAACGCTTCAGTTCAAAGTTCCTCTAGATGTCAGTATTACATAGGGAAATGAAAACATAACAGCCTTTGGCAGGGAATAAAGGCCTTCTTACATTATTTAAACAGAAAAACATATGTGATATATAATTACTAAACAAAAAAGCAGCCTCACTTGGAAGCTGGCTTCTTATATTCCTCAATACTGACAGCTTCTCCTGTTGGTCAAGTCCGACTCCGAACCCAAAGAATATTGGCCCAACATGTGGACTTTTCCACCTGATACTCAGGTGGCTTCAGAGGCAAATGTGGATCTATCAGTGCTCCATGGAGTCTTACAGCCAGCTGCTCAATTTTATATACTTTGATGGGCTGAAATTGACTGATACATACCAGTTTTCATTATTAAATCCACGTATGCTTATATCATTGCGTTCATGCCACACAGAATAAACCCAGAAGCACAATGTCTATTGATACACCAGAGTTTTCATTTCAAAAGGGAAGAACAAAGGGACAGTTATAAAACATCTTAAACACAATTTGTTAAACTGTCTTATTCAACTAATTTGGATATATGCTTTCAAAATTGGACTTAAATTCTCTGTCTTCTTTTCTTTTTTTGCTTCTCTTCCATGTTGATTGTAATCTTTTGACAAATATTTATCTCTTCACTCTGCTAATTTGTTTTTGATTTATGACCTTCTCTCTTAATCATTTTTCTTTTCTTTTGTGGTGCCAACTATGTAGTAGATCTCAATAAATATGAATCATGTAACTTGGCTATAGTCTTTCTTTTTTTTTTTTTTCCCAGAAAGACAGTATAGTGTGGTAGTTAGGTGCACAGGCTGAAGTAGACAGCTGGGTTAGAATCCTAGCTCTACCATTTCTAAACTTTATAACCTTTGGAAATTACCTAACTTCATTTATACAATGGGGCTAATAGTATCTATCTTAAAGGGCTGTTAGGAGGAGCAACCAGGTAAACAAAGTGCTTAAAAGAGTAACTGGTACATAGTGTGTGTGCACAATACATGGTAGCCATCACCACTACCACCATCATTACCATGATCACCACCATCACCACTACAACCACTATCACCACTACAGTCACCACCATCACCACTACCACTACCACCATCGCCATCACTACCACCACCAGCACTACCACTACCGCCACCATCATGGCCACCACCATCATTACCACTACCGCCATGACTACCACCACAACCACCACTACTACCACCACCACCACTACCACCACCACCACTACCACCATCACCACCACCACCACTACCACCATCATGATCACCACCATCATGACCACTACCATCATCATCATCATCACCATCATCACTACGTACTGGTCTCTGAAGTAATCGCCAGGGAGTCAAGGATGAACCAGTCTTTTTGCCCACTAGAAGTCCACAATCTCATGGGAAATTGACCGGAAAAAAGGCTTAAAAGTGTTATAAGGAATACCAGGGTTAGGGCTATGTGCTGAGTTTTGTGCAAGCACAGAGGAGGGAGCAGTCGGCTTTGCTTGAAGCAGCAGCAGCCCATTTTCCCTGCAGAGGGAAAAGCAGGCAAGTGCCATCTCTGGACTTTCACTTAAAGAGAAACTTTAAGAGAAAGAGAAACTCTGAAGCTCTCACTTCCAGCCTTGGCTTTCCACAGGTTTACTAAACATGCCTTCATGTTGTAAGTTCACCATCTGAAAAACGGAAATACTCTGAATCCATGGAGCTGCCCCCTGAATTGTTTAAAAGCACATTTGTGGCCGGACGTGGGGGCTCACACCTGTAATCCCAGCACTCTGGGAGGCCGAGGCAGGCGGATCACCTGAGGTCAGGAGTTTAAGACCAGCCTGGCAAACATGGCAAAACCCCGTCTCTACTGAAAATACAAAAAATTAGCTGGGCATGGTGGTGCATGCCTGTAGTCCCAGCTACTCAGGAGGCTGAGGTAGGAGAATCGCCTGAACCTGGGAGGTGGAGGTTGCAGTGAGCCGAGATCGCGCCACTGCACTCCAGCCTGGGCGACAAGAGTGAAACTCCATCTAAAAAGAAAGAAAGAAAGAAAGAAAGAAAGAAAGCACATTTGCAATTTGTCTTGATATCTGTGCTCTGAACTTCCATGGTGTTTCATGCTTGCAAATCAGCTGAAGGCAAATTATGTTATGTTTCAAAGGGGAAATAAATACTTTTTTTGGACATCCACACAATGTCATTAATTTATAATGCATAACTTTAGGAGTTGTGATAACCTGGGTGGATTGGGTTAATGTTTCCCTTTTATATGGGGTACATTAGCTAACAGTTTGCTCAACTAATTCAGAGACTCCAGGACTGTGAGAAGAATGTTTATCCTCTTAGGAAAAAGGCCATCTGTTCTAAGCACTGTAAAGGTTCCATTTATAAAGCTGACTTTCATCTCCTACTCTCTGGTTTACAGAGCCCATTCACATGTATCCTCTCATTTCTATTTGATTTATATGTAAACCATATCAAGACAATTTAAACAGAAGTCAAGGGTGATGTACACATTATTATATCCTTTCATCTATTCATGAAGATGGGCTTTTTCCCATAATGACAGTTTTACAGAATTTCTTTGAAAATAGTTCATTTCAGATACTGTAGTCTATATGGCTTTCATTAATTCAGACAGTTCTGCCCTCTACATTACTATTAATTTTACTGTTTTTTTTTCTATGTTTGAATCGTATAATATAGTAGTTTTCACTCTGGGGTGATGGGTGATTTTGCTCCCCATTTATGGATCTCTGGAGACCTTTTTGGTCATCACAACTGGGAGGGAGGGTGCTACTGGCATCTGGTGGATAGAGGCCAGCGATGCTGCTATCCTGTAATGCTCACGACATTCCCCACCACACAGAATCATCCAGCACAAGTGTCAGGAGTGCTGAGGTTGAAAAGCCCAGATGTGATATGTAACTTCAGTTACTCAATTGTGCCTCCACAGGCGAAGGAGTTGTGGTCAAACGCCGACCTGACGGAAAGGATGCCTGTCAAAAGCAAAAGGACATCAGCCCTTGCAGGTAACATCTTTAGAAAACTAGATAGTTATGAATAAAGAAAGTCCTGTTATAAAAGTCCTATTGTTATTCAGAGGAAGTTGCACATTCATAAAGCCCTGTGTAGGAAGAAGTGATGTTTGTATTTTTTAAAAAAATACTCCCTCCCCCCCCCTTTTTTTTTTGCTTGTCTTTGGGTCTTACTACTTACAAACAAGAAAATCTTTTGGAACCCACTTGATCATATTTCCTTCCACTCTGCTTTTAAAAGCTTATATCTGCTGATAAAAAGAAACCTGGATAAAGATGCCATTATAGAAAGCCAAAATTATACTGATCACCTACATTCTCCATTAAAATATTTTGTGTCCTATGGTGGCTTCTAGAGAGATCTACCCAGAAGAATCAGCTCTCCTCTGCGAAAGAAAAGGTTAATAAACTCAACAAGAAAAATGCTGAGAAGACCAATGCCTCTCTAGTTCATAGAAGTTTTGCCATATTTCATACAAAAAGACAAGACAAAGTAGAAGATTTTGCTCCAAGAAATTCTATAGATCCAAGAGAGAATATAGATGGAACAGACATTTCAAGCACAGAGAGCCTGAATAGACAGGAAAGTGATAGTGCTGTGAATGAAAAGCCACTGTGGATAAAAACGGACACCCAGTGTTCGAAGAAGAGAAAACGGGTTTAATTATAAGGAAGATGCTAGTGGAAGAGAAGCTGAGAAGAAAAGAGAACTGGCAACTGTACATGAGACAGTGCTGGACCAATGTCCACATAAAAATCAATACATGTATCAGACTAATGGTGACCAATTTCCTGAAAGGTCGGGTTACAGCATTGCATATCCACAGCAATGCTTTCTGTAGATCTATGTGCCATTGCAGTTTAAAGCCTTATTAAAAGGATAAATGAAGAGAGTTTTCAAGCGATGATTTATAACTCAGTTTTCCAGCTTACATGAATTTTTCATGGCCACATTTTCTTGCCATTATTTTTTCTTCTTGCCTGTGATATTTTCAGGCATTTTATTATTTTCTATGTTTTCTACCAACTGGTAGACAAAGATGATGATTAATAGTGCCCACAGGAATCAGTATTTTTTAAAGATCAAGTAAAATATTTTTATTTTTAGCAATACAGAACATATCCTTCCTAAGGACAAGAATTAAATAATGACTAGATTTATCTGTAATTTAAAAACCTAAATCTGAGAAAGCTTACCTACTCCATTATAAATAATAATTTTCCCAAATATAGTGAGGATGAAATATAGTGAGGATGAAGTAAGATGTACATTATTGAATGACTTTCTTTCTCAACTACACAGTTTCACATGTAGATTAAGGTAATATTGTAGCCAATTAAAATGAACTACTCAAAGTTATGAGTAATCACATATCACAGTATCTATTTGGAAACAAAAGTATCAAAACACTTGTGTGGTCTTTTTTAGGGATTTAAAACATAATTCTTACTTCACTTTTTAATAATGTATCTGAAACCTCATCTTGGAGAAATTTAATTTTCCAAGAATTAAGCGTAAATACTAATGATTGCTAAGAAAGAAACTTCATCACTGCCAGATGCGTTCAGTAAGGTCGAGAGCTGCTGAGAAATGGAA